TTCAACCTGCCACAGGAGCTGCTGAAACAGTTCTACTCCGCCATCATTGAATCCATCCTCTGCACTTCAATAACTGTCTGGTTCAACTCAGCTACCAAATCTGACCTCAGAAGACTACAGAGAGCAGTTTGGACTGCCGAGAGGATTATTGGTGCTCCCATGCCCACCCTTCAAGAACTGTACACATCCAGAGTGAGGAAAAGGGCTTAGAAAATCACTCTGGATCCCTCACATACAAGCCATCTCCTTTTTGAACTTTTGATATCTGGTCGGAGCTACAGAGCACCTAATACCAGGACAGCCAGGCACAAGAACAGTTTCTTCCCCCAGGCAATCTACCTTATGAACAATTAAATGTCCCCCCCCCAATCATTCCATAAAAATGTGCAATAACCTTATATTTTATTTGTTACCACCCCACATCCTAGTACATCCCTACATCTCATTCTATTCTATCTATATCACAACTGTACATACAATTTATTTTCCTTTTCAATTAAATCTTCTGTTTTTGTTTATTTATATTTGCATATGTGTGTTTTTATTCTCATGTTATTTTTATTGTCTGTTGTTGTCTCTGTGCACTGGACGCTTGTGACACTAAAACAAATTTCTTGTATGCGCAGGCATACTTGACAATAAAGCTTTTTTTTTTTTTACCTCTGATTATTATTATGTATGCATGTAATATTTGAGCTTTTGGAATAAACCATATTTGTGGAAGTATGTTTTGTATGTTTTATTCTTTCAATTTTACAAAAAGGAATATAAGGAGTTGTTTTGTGATGAGGTCAAATAGGTTGAAATATTGACTTTTCTGTAATTTGTTAGTTAAAATAAGTGAAACGGTGAAAAACTGTTTAAAAAAATACTCTTTCAATTTAATTTGTTTCAATTGATTTTCCCCCTTTTTCCTTTTTTTTGTACTTTCCCTTTCCCTTTATCTTTTCCTCATTTTCCCTTTCCCCCTTGTTTTTTTTTTCCTCATTTTTTCTTTTCCCCCACCCAATGCGGAAAGTGAAACCTGAGCGGTGAACTCATTTTCGGCAGCCGGAATTTCGGTGCATCTCTAATTATTGGCGACATTAGAAATGGATATTATATAATAGCTGCTTTTTTTAACATTCTAGCAATTTAAAAATATTAAAAAATGATTTTTTACACGGCACCCCTGCTCTCGACAGACGGCACCCCGGTTGGGAAACACTGCTCTAAATAATGCCGCGAGTGGGGCTTGAGGAAGTGACGTCGCCTGCGTCTGCGCAGTGTGACCTGATGCAGCCCCTGAAGCGAGACACAGGAAACAGAAATACTGCAAAATAATAATAATAACGAGACGAAATAACATTTCGTTTCGTCTCGTTTTGGTCAACGAAAATGAAGAGACATTTTAGCATAGTTTTTATTTTGTAAACCACATTTAGTCTCGTTTTTATTCGTCAACGATATTGCATTATACATTTAATTATAGTCATCATCACATGACCAGCATTTTCGTCTCGTCTCGTTTTCGTCACGTGATAAAGGTTCGTTGACGACGATATTTAGTCATAATTTTCGTCGACGAAAGCAACACTAGTCTCTACTAATTCTACGCCCTTGTGGGCATTATTCCTCTCAAAATTGCAAGAAAAAAAGTTCGAACTGTGAGAGAAAAACTTTATTAAAACCTTTTTTTTTTTGTTCTGTGGTGGAAACGGGCTTCCATATGCATCTACCAAGAGTAAAAAGAAACCAGGTTAAAATAATAATTCATTTCTGATCATATCAGGCAGAAGATGTCTGTGAAATCCGTCTATCAGTATCCAGACGCTCAAACCGGAGATGAGGACGCTTTTGCTCGAGAACCGTTCGTCGTGTGGTTTTCGTCTCCAAAAACGGGTGAGACATTTACAGTGTGAAAGGTGAACCTCTTATGAAATGATGCTAAACATGTGTTCGTCTGTCTCACAACAGAAGTCACGGATTTGGTCATCATTCCCATTCACACGGCTCCAGAAGCGGCTGTGAAAGAAATCGATGAACTCTTCGACGTTTATCAGAACGTCTCACAAATGTGGCCGTCAGACGTAAGCGAAGCAGTTCTCTATCCAGATTCCCAACTCACAAAAATATGTTTCGATTAGAAATACAAACGTTATTTCTTAATGTTATCTGAACATTCCAAACGTCCAGTTGTTTTAAATGGATTTTTCGCGGTTATCGAATGTTAAAGGAACATTCCATTTGATCATTTCGGAAACATTGTTGTTACTTTTAACTGTTCAAGGAACATTCTGAAACAAGTAGTAGCTAATATTAAAAAGAAACAAACATTTAACTAAAACGTTACAAATAAAACGTGAATGATGTATAAATAATGTTTTGTGCTATTAACATTATTAAAGACCAGATAACTCTGCACAAACGTTTCATTAATGTTACTGAAAATGTTTGCTCATAACTTTGCCAGAACTTTGAGAACGTTCCTTTTTAGCTGGGTTGATGTCTGCTATATTCTATTTTCATAAATCGTTTAAAGTTGTTAAATGCAGATAGGTTGTATAATGTCTTTAAATAGTATTTATTTTTATTTCAAACAGGTATTATTCACACATCAGTGTCAAACATGCACCACTATAATTAATGTATGTTCAATCAACTGTATCTTTTCTCCTGGGTTAATAACGCTGAATACTTATAGTTTTTATGACTTAAAAGTTCACTATACATAAACCTGATAAAATATTCATTATGAGTAAGCTGTGACAACTTGCCCCGGTCAGTAAAGGAAACACTAACAGCTGTGTCTGTTCTACAGGCTCTGGCAGTGAGTGATCATTTCCCGCTCTGCATCACTGTAAATCAAGCGCAGAGGAAAGGATAACAACCTTCTCCATTTACACTTTTACTGCTCGCCTGCTTCATTAGTCCTACAGATGAGAATGAGAAACAGCTTATAAGAAAATGAACGAGTTCTAACAAAATCTTTGATGCAGAAAGCGAGTGTTCAGTGCTTTACTTTTTTACTGTGTTTTTGTAAAGAAGAGCAGAAATGTTTGATTGAATGATAATGACAAGCTTCCAGTGCTTGTTAATTATGAACCAGCGGTCTGTAGTGTTGGTTTACCGGTTGCTGTGAGACAGTAGAGTTAGTTTGCAAGACTGTTGCCACTGTAACCCATCTACATTTCTCCATTAATTAACTCTGTACATCACAACACCTGTATAAGTGCTTCATATTGACATTTGCATGCATGCTTATATGATTTATTTCATTTTAATAAAAGATTTACTCGAGTAAATGACACAGAGTATTAGATTTAAGGTGAATACCATCTGTTCAAGTTCAATGGGGTGAGAAAAACATGCTCTGGTGTTTCATCCGAGTTGATCAGTCACTGTGGGAATATTAAAAATGCCATTCCTGGCATAGAAAGTGTTTCTTACAATCCCAGATCTCCCGTAGGCTGGTGTCTTACAGTCAATCTCATAGTCACCTGAAGAAACAAAGCCTGTTTAGTGCTTGACATTTAGACTACATGCAACCATTTTATACTAATACTAATAATATTTGTTTTTATATACACTACCATTCAAAAGTTTGGGGTCAGTAAGATTTATTTTATGAAAGAAATTAATATTTTTATTCAGAAAGGATGCATTAAATTGTTCAAAAGTGGCAGTATAATGTTAAAAAGATTTCTATTTTAAATAAATGCTTTTCTTACAAACTATATTCATCAAACAATCCTGAAAATTAAAATTTATCAAGGTTTCCATAAAAATATGAAACTGCAAAAAAATAATCAGAAATGTTTCTTGAGCAGCAAATCAGCATTTTATAATTATTTCTGAAGACTGGAGTAATGATGCTGAAAATTCAGCTTTGATCACAGAAATAAATTACAATTTATAAGATATTACAACAACAAAAAATGTTATTTTAAATTGCAATAATATTTCACAATTGTTGCTGTATTTTTGATCAAACAAATGCAACCTTGGTGAGCAGAAGAAACATTACTAAACCCAAACCATAATACAAAAATTGTTCAAATCCTATATATATATTCTAATATTACAAAATTAATCCTCACCTAATCTCCATCCATACTCCCAGGACGACAGAATGGGATAATCAAACTTTTCCTCAGGGTCTTTCTTCGCCCGTTTCCTCAGGTATAAACCTCGTCCTTTGCCTTCGTTGGATAAGCCCTGATACAGAGCCGCTTTAGTCTGCGGGCTCGCGGCTCTCATGAGCGGGGCTTCACTCAGTGACCGGCGCACCGGCTGCTTCTCCCACGTCTGGACCACAGGAGGCAGCGTGACTTTACCGACAGACGGAGGGTTAAAAAGCCCGATGGACCTGGACCTGCGAGACGCGAAGGTGGTCGGATATTCTTTGCTGTACTTCATCTTCCAGGCCAGCCGCGTGTAGGCCTCCTTTAGGATCAGCTCGCGGTAGAAGTTCTGGTCTTGCGTGGTGAGCAGGTTCCTCATGTCTGATGTCTCTTTAGAGACAACAGAAACCTATCAGGTGCAGAGCTGACCAATCAGAGAGCAGATCACTCACCAGGTGGAGAGAAGAGAGGCCAGACACACCATATGCTGACAGAATAACAAAAGAAACCCAGTGCAGTGTGCGGCATCTACAGGAATTTAGGAATTCAGCTGCGAAAAAGAGTCAAATACGGAAGACAAGAAAAACGATGGGTACTGAGGGGTCTCAAAAAGTAAAAAAAAGAAATAAATTTAAACAAAACACACCGGCATGAGCAGATGAAGAGTCCCTAAAACCAGCAAGCAAACTAGCTTTTTCCACCCTTCATTTTAACTTTAGTTTATGTAATTTTGATGAGCTTTTGTCTTTTTTATTGTTAGGTTTTTATTGTTAATTTTTATTTATTTGTATGGTTTTATTTTTAGTTCAGAAAATTAATAATGTTGCCTTGACAACTAAAGTTTAAATTCATATAATATTTATATATTTTTTCCAGTTCCGAAAATGATTTTTAATAGTTTTAGTTAACACTAACAACACTGGCTATTTTTTTTTTTCTATCTGGGAATATGAAACTTTGAGTATATTAACGATGATAATTGTTTATATAAATAATGTAATCATTTTGTCTGAACTAACCCTTTAAGCAGGTGTTGTAATGCTCAGATTTGTCCTGAAGGTGGAAGCAAAACATTATGAACATTATTCTGAACATTATCAGCCAGTGAGTGACAATGAAAGTTAATAATCCTAAATGACATAAGCTAACTAACATCGACTTCCTCCTGCCTATACAAAGCAAAGGAAATAATGAATAATGAGCAGGACCTTTGGAACTATAAATATGCATGTTTATCTGTTATCCAGGGTCATTTATACGGTAACAATGGAACATTCTCAATCAAGGTGGCCAATGCACTTTCTGTTACTGGAATTCTAAGCAGTAAACAGAACAGAGTTACTCAGTTAAAGGAACAGTTCACTCAAAAAGACATTTGATCATTTACTCCCCCCTCAGAAAATGTTGTTAAAGAAAATTCTGAAAGTTTCACTCTCAATAAATAATGAGAGGCTGTAGCTTCTATATTCTTGAATTCTTTATTCCAGTCAGTTTTAATAAGCAAATGTACATCGAATCTATTCATGTGTTTCACAATAAGGCACCAACGGCTAAATACAAAATACAATTAAATGTCCCCTCTTGCCCTTAAAACACTTACAAAATACTTCACCACTGGAGTATCAAAACTAGTAGAATTAAGACAAAGAATGTGAAAGACCTGCATAAATCTATTACTGTGACTTTTGTGTATTAGCGTCTTCAAAAAGCCAGAAAATCAGATCTTTTGGTCTTGAGGGATTTGCGAGTCTAAAATCTTGATATATAGTAATTTTTATGTAAACTATTCAATATGCAGCAGTGAAACCCGTTGAGATGAATGCAGAAGTGCTTGATTTGAAGTGATGGATGATGCTTTGATTTATGAGCACAGTTCCGTTTATGCAGCGAGAATCAAACACAGACATGGAAAGGTTATAATATGTGCATTAAAAGTGTCAGTATTGTTAGAAAGAGACGAGCGATTAGAGTCAATATCAGCAGTACAGAGACGTTTGGGTGTGAAACCCTGATCAGTTTGTTCATACACCGTCTTTTAACTTTTCAACACTCATCTTTAGACGTGCAATGCTGAACTAAATCGAGAAATAGAAGTAATGTACAATTCATGCATCATAACAAAATGCCGTCAACGTTTCCGTCATAATGCGTCACATTCCAGTCAAAAACCTGATCAAGTGCAAAGTTCAGCAGAATGAAGAAGGTCTTCTAGTGGTTTTTGTACAGTCTTTCTCTCTGTCAGGAGTGTTTCTGATTAACCGCAGGGAATTATGGGACGGTGACTTGGAATGGGGAGCCTGGGATGTGTTCATCTCCCCATTTCACAGCCAGAATGTAGTTGCCCCTCTCCTTTAAGACGTAGCTGATGTTGTACTGCATGTTTCCCATGTGTTTGACCAGGATCTCCTCGCAGGGCGTCAGAGGACCGTGAACACCGACCAGGAGCATGTTCTTCCCTGGAAACAAACACAAATACATGGATACAGTAGACAACAAATGGTAAAACTCAATTATGCCCTGTATAAAATGCAGTTCTGGCAATATTGCCATGATAGAGTGTTAATCAATCAATCAATAATTTTTATGATCGTATATTATGTTTTGAGTCTGGTTTTAAAATAATTAGAATAATGATAAAATAAATGTTATATTAAATGTATTAAATGAATAGTACAGTAAATCACGTTTAAATATATTGATATTATAAATAATATAAAATAAGAAAAATAATTAGTTTTGTATATGGAGAATAATTCTAAAGTTGTTTCATAATTTTATTTACATACATATTTGGCCTGATTTACATGCCTTAGTTATTTATTTATGTTACAATCCGTCACTCACATGAGATCACAGCAACAGTAAATCCTGATGTAATGGACTTCATACAGAGCGAACATGCCAGTTCAGGCACAAATACAGTTTCATAACTGATGGGGTTTAAGACAGCCTACAGATCCTTTGGATTCATATTACTACAGGGCAGCACATAATAATGCTGAACCGAACATAAGCTTCTTGTATTTTGTGAGTTACTGGAGACTCCTCTAGAAGGATTATTGTATTCAATTAAATATCAGCTTAAAAATTAGCTGGTTGTTTTAATTTGTTGTCTTGTCAATCAGTTGTTGTAACGTCAGTTGGACCTTTGTCAACTTCGTCAGTTTTTAACACTTTCAGATGAAGGTTTCTGTTCACTTTGAAATAAAGATTTTATTATTTTTTCAATTTATTGTTTTAAAATAGTAAAACATGAACTGAACTACATGATCATATGTGTATGTTCTCAAAGAACATAGGTTATATATGTTTAATATGAAAAAGGATGATGGAAAATTAAGAAATTCAGGAATTGGATTGTTCATATTAGAGTGAAAACTGGAAAAAAAAAAAAATGTAGAAAATGTATTTAATCACTTCAGCTATATTCCTGAACACCATTATTACATAACTGAAGACTTCACACTGTTATTTAGTGGATCAAATTAAAATATCATGCTTTTTAATGCGTCTGACAGAGTTTTTTATGAAGTGAATAAATGTAGATTTTTAGAAAAAAAAAAACATTTTCAGAAAAACCTGTGTCCTTATATGGTTCATTAGCTGAGACCTCTCTACAAATATATCAATTTATAAATAATGTGTCATTAAATAATAAAAACTCACATTTTAAAACATGTTTTGTACCTTATATGAAGAATCAGTGAAATAAATGTTTTATATCAATTTATATAAAATTCAAAATAATAATAAAGCATTGTATTATGATTAGGGTTGGAGCTAAAAACTGCAGGACAGTGGGTCCCCCAGGAGCTTAAGACCATGTATAAAGTGCATCAGCTTTTTGTTGAATGCGTATGCATTTGTTCCTAGTAATAAACTTTCATCATTTAATAAACTTTTATAGTTCATCTCACTCATGCTCAAGTTGTTCTGAATAACCTGAGATCTCACCTGCTTTACTGCAGTCCACAGAGAAAGACGCTTTCTGGCCCACGAAGGCCTTACTGAGACCCGGACCTCGACTGAGAACCTTGCTGGCGTCAGAAGCGGCTCTGGGAGAGGCGCTGTAGGAGTTCATACTGCTCGCCCTGCTCACCGGATCCACCATCAGAGTGGACATCTCACTGGCGTTCGTCACGTTCACCAACCGCGGCCCTGAAGACCAGACAAG